ACAGCTCATTCTCAGTGAGTCCGTCCAGCTCAACGCACCAAACTCAGATCATGCTGCTTCTTGCACCACGTTGTTGGGTAGGCTTATTTTTGTTGCTGGCTACAAAATCAAAGGTAGTCTACAAGTATCTTGATTCTCTCTCTGTGCTTGAGGTCGGCCTAAATGTGTTGTCTCGCTCTCTTTAACAAATTATTCGTACTTGATATGGTATTCAGGAAGCCCAACAGTTGGTGCAGGGTCAACAAGGTAGAAAAGGTAGATTTTGTAGAACGGGTGGCTAAGAATACGGCCAGGGGTTGGCAAGCTAGATGACAAACTCTGTAGGACAGACTGAGCCTCTTCTCTTCTCCTCTTCTTCATATTCTCATCGTGTCTTTCAGGGTGTACCTCCAGTGCCAAAAAGAGGCATTCCTCTGGGTTTCTCCCTGAGTGGATCTTTACCTGAGACAACCCCACATCCAAGTGAAGAGGACAGAAGAAAGCCAGACTCGTTTAATAGCACTGACACAAGCTATCCGGGTGATCTTTGTCCACCGGGGATCACGTACTCTGAGCTCACACAGGTGGAGAGCAGAAGCAAATCTCTACCAAGACTGAACAACAACGGCATGGAGGAGGAGGAGGAGTACTCCAACCAGCTCAGCAGTCCCTCCTTCACAGCGTTAACATCTCACTCACCCACTCCGCTGAAGAGGGTCACCTGTCACACCTACTCCCTCCACGAGCCCAAAGACACTTCGAAGCTGAGCAGCTCCAGGTCAGAACAGCAGGGTGAAGACGTGGAAATGCTGAAGTCCAACCCGCTGTACCAGACCTCCGAGGGGCCCGGAGGGAGTTCGGCACGGCAGGGAGGCACCATGTACACGGAGGTCCCCCAGAGGCCAACACCTGCCGGGCTGCCCGATGACACCTACGAGCAGATCCCCGGGGAGGCCGCCGCCGTCCAAGGAAACACTTACGAGTCGCTGGAGGATATGAAGACCAAGAAGTCCAAATCCACCTGGGGGAAAAATGTAAGTCAAGAAGAATGATCACAGCTGTTCATGTTTTCTGGAGCAGAAATATTTTATTTAATTCAATGTTTTTTTCTGTTTGCAGAATATGAAATGGAAGAAATTCCTTCCTGATTACAAGAAGAAATAAATGTGACTTGAAGGACCCAGCATGTTTGATATTTTAACTGAGACAGAAATGAGTATTATAAATAAATTACTTTAATAATTGCATTTTATTAGGTAAGAAAGTCACTCAGATGTTTAAACGCTGCAATAATCTCACTCTAGATAAATCAAACAGTAGTTATCGTTACTTATTCTGGTCTTTTTCCTTTAAATTTTCCTTTTTTGTATCTCTTGATTTTATGTAAATTTTAATAAAAAAGATTATTGAAGATGAAAGGTAGAATGTGGACGATTTTTTTCATTTAAAACATAAAAAAATGAATGACATTTTGAAGAAATAACAGTTTTGATGTGTTACAGAGTATCTGTGTATATTCTGCAGTTAACATGCCAACCAGCTATCTAACAGTGAGTCAGTGTAGCGTGCAGTCTGCTCTCAGAACAACGAGGGGGTTTACCTCCGGGCACCTCGTGGCTGACCCCGCCACAACCTGGCTGTGCCTTCATCATGGATCTATTAGTTGTATGCATCTCATTGGGACAAACTCCAGGAGGCATTTCTTCTTATTTTTTCTGCTTGTATTTTGTTCTGTGTTTCAATTTTTTTTTTTTGTACCGTTGAGCAATTTTATTGACAAATAAAGTTTAAAACTGTGTAATTATTGTTTGATTGTTATTTTAATTCAGTCTGTGTCACTATCACTGCTATAAAGACAGTTCTTTTATGAGGGTTACTGTACTGCACTGTAACACTGTGATGTAGATAGATATTTAAACTTTAACGTATTACTCATACTCTTCTCCAAAGTAACGTTATCACTTTACGTAATACTACCTGCCAACAGTAATTAGTTACTTTACTAGTATCCCCACAAAACTGGTAATTGTGTCCTTTCTCCCTAAAATTACAGACTCACAACAATTAAAATACAGTTTTGTTGGTTAAAATCAAAGTAATGGAATATTTCCAGTTGCTGCATATAAGAGTTTCACCACACACACGTGCCGTACTGTGTTTATTCATCATCCCATTTATTTTATTTTATCTTATTGATTCATTTATTGTTTGTTTGTTTTGAACCCATTACTACTACTATCTGTTTTTGTCTTTTACTCTACATTTGTAAGCTGATAATGTGAGCTACTGGATTTCTGAATTTCCCTCAAGGGGAATTAATGAAGTATCTATCTTTCTATCATCCATCTTCCAAACTAGTTTCCTCCACGATTACAAAAATGAATCCAAGGAAGTGATCGGATTGTTAGATTTCAAATCAGTTGGGGAAGAAAACAAAAGTAATGTTGTAACTAATTATTGGGGGGGGGGGTAACTGTAGTATTATTACTGGTAAAGTAATATTATTTCTTTTTATTTTTTGGCCTTTTATTTGATAGTGACGGCCGAAGATAGACGTATTAGGGCCATAGTAAGAAAGAAAATTATTTTATTTTTTGGAAATTACGAGAATAAAGTCGTAATGTTACGAGAATACATTTTTAATATTACGAGAATAAATTCGTAATATTACGAGAATAATGTAATAATAATACAAGAAAAAAAGTTGTTTTAATGATAAAAAAGCTTCGATAGAAGTTATCCATATCTGACGTGACACAGCTCCAAACCAAAATCAGGCAGCCTTGAAGCCTGAGCGCGCAGCAAGCAGCTGTTCTGTCCTCAGTCGTACCGTCAACAGGTAAAATCATCATCCCAATTAAGACATATTTACGCTGGGCCTGAGCCAACAAGGCCTGACAGTTCTCAAAAATAAAATACCTACTTTATTCTCGGTAATGTTAGCGAAACGTTATTCTCCGCAATATTATGACTTTATTCTCTTAATTTCCCCCCCCCCAAAACTAATATGTTTCTCACCTTAGTATGGCCCTTAATAACACTAAATAACCACAACTAACACTAAATACCACTACTAACACTAACTAACAGAATAATAAAACACCTACTAAAAACTAACTAAACCACTATCAACACTAAATAACCACCTAACTAAACACTAAGTGGGCATTCCATTTGGAACACCACATCCTAGGCTGGTACCTCTGGCAAAATCTGACCGGTTTGGACATTGAGCGATTCAAGCGGCCTGAAAAGCACCACACAGGTGGCAACCGGTTTGTTCACTTTTCTCTAGGCGGGCTCAAACTCGTTGCCGATCAGAGCAAGTTTTTACGAATCTCCTAAAGAAACCTTCGCAATTAGAAGCTTTGATGAAAGCGACGAGTTAGCTGGACGATGTCGAATGCGGGGTCATTTAAACAAACAACTTGTCAGGCAGATGTTGTCATTTGTTTTGAAGTGTTTTTTTGTTCTGTAGCACTGAATTAACAAGAACCCACAGCGGTAGAGAGAAGAAGCGCTCGCACAATACCTGCAAGCTAGTGGCAGTTTGTTTTTTGCTTTTTCCTGGTTATTTCTTCTGCTTTACAATAGCTGGAAACTGCTGTTGAAATTATATACACCT